TCTCTCTCTCTCTCTCTCTCTCTCTCTCTCTCTCTCTCTCTCTCTCTCTCTAGTAAACTGAGGTACCTGAACACTAGTTGGATAAACTCTCACCAGTGCTGGCTAAAGACAAGCATGGACATCTGGTTGAGATGTGAACCCAAAGAGTCAGACATCACTTGTTCCTTCTCTGACCTGATGCCATTGTTTATCCCTTTATCCCTGAGCTCAGGATCACTATTCCTCACTCCCTAGCCCACAGGAGCCTAGGCCTTCAGAAGGATGGAGTGGGAGAAACCTCAAGGGTCAGTCCTGGGAATGGAGAAGGAGACTGATTCAGTGTACAGATAAAAATGTGCTCGACAAAGCTCAGTCCACCATGCTGCAATCAAAAGCATGAAGGCAGCTCTCCCTGTCTGGGAGACAAGACTTGAACCTTTGGATCTGTACAGAGCAGAGATTTGTCAACACATGCAACCACATACACAGATCATGTGATTCTGTGTGTGCTTTCCTTTTACTTGGAGGAGAAGCCCTTGGTTTTTTTTCTAGTGAAGTTAAAAAAAAACTTTGACATATAATACCTGTACATATTTGTGGAGTATGTGTAACTCTTTAACACATGTATATAATTTATAAGAATAAAATTGAAATAATTGTCTATTTATAATACATTATAAACATCTGTCATTTATTTTTTGAGAACTTTCCAAATTGTCTCTCCTAAGGGCCGGCCAAATAGCTCAGCGGATTAAAGTGCCTACAAACAGGTGCAGGGGCTGGGGGGTTGGATCCCCACCCCTGGGGTGCGCTGAGATGGCAATTGAGACTGGGCATGGTGGCACATACCTATAATCCCAGCTCTTTGGAGGCTGTAAACAGGTGGATCACTATGAGTCAGATCTAGCAATGAGACTCTGAACACCCTGTAGACCCTTCCCCCCCAAAAAAAAAAAAAAAATATTGTCTCTACTAAAGGGACTGAAAAGAACACTATACACACATTCATTCCTCAAAATGAATGTAATTGTTCACATCACAAACATCAACTAATAAAAGAGGGGCCTAGGAGAGAGCTCAGGGGCTGGGGAGATAGCTCAGTAGAATAAGTGCTTGCCTGGCAAGTGCAAGGTCCTGAGTTCTATCCCTGGTACCACAAAAAGAAAGAAAGAAAGAAAGAAAGAAAGAAAGAAAGAAAGAAAGAAAGAAAGAAAGAAAGAAAGAAAGAAAGAAAGAAAGAAAGAAAGAAAGAAA